CTTCACTTCATCAGGAGTGAGGGCTGTGTTGATCTAACAAGTTTGCAGTGTAAGTTACAAGGAGTTACAAAAGTCAAAAACTTTAAATATTCTCCAGCTGTATTTATATTTTATAAGTAATTGAAGTAATCAGTCATGTTTCTTCTAGATACACTTGAATAAGGATGCAATGATACCTCACAATACAATTAAAACAATCAATACAAGTAACAGACTACTCAACTCAATCAGACAAAAAGTGCATTGTAATAGAGTTTGTTTGTTTTTTACCAGCAGAGGGCGCTATCTGCTTTTGGCTTCTCTTGTTCGATGTAAGTGGCTAAACACGTGAGGCGTATAGACATGGCTGAAGCAAATGAAGAATTTGTTTCAAAGCATGGCAGGGATGTAGCAGCAAGGTGAAAATTGTCCAAATATTGCAAGAGACTGATTAATGACAAGAAACCACAACAAACATGAAACAACACGTACAATGGCGCCACGTTGAGAAGTGTAACACACCAAAAACATAAAACATGTGCTGAGCAGCGGATAGGAAACCCCATTTGGCCAAATGCGCGCAAGAGCCAAAGATATTACTATTCCCGTCTGTGTTGAAAATATTTGGGTTTATGATTCAAACTCGAGAGTCAGATTATTTATTGACCCGCCAGGGGAATTTTGTTTTGCAGCAGGAGCACAGAGAAGACAATGAGCATAAGGACAACATCACTGTAAAATCTAAATTAAAACAAAATTAAAGAATCAGACTAAATGCAGTAATATGAATATGGAGTTCAAAGCAAGTTAGTAAACCGCAAAGTGATCAAATGTGCAGTTAAAGAACACTAATTTATACGACTGTTCAAGATCATTCATACTTAGAGAAATATGAGCAGCTCATACCGATTTTAGAACATTTCACACTTAAACAGACAACAAACCTCACGCCAAAGGTTCAAACATGGCCTATGAGCAGTTCTCATAATTTACAATTTACAGAGCAATGAAGATGACAGCAGATGTACAGACATATATGCACATTCAACGCTCTGCAGGGTTGCACTTAACTGGTAAACAGAGTTACCTTAGATGATGAACAGATGATAAAATTTTTGTTTCTTGTCCCTCCACCTTTGTGTGCAAAGGCACGTTCCCTCACTCTCACATCTGTATGAGCTCTCTCTCCCTCTCAGGGTTTTTCGTTGCATGTTTTTAAGTCCTTTAAGTGGGCTTGAACACCTGCTTAAAGGACTGTAGCATCTGTACAGGCTACCCATACAAGAGCATGACCTAACCGCTAGGCCATCTGCACCCCATTTGTTGCAATGTTACACCGCTTTTTTAGCGGAAGCTACAAAATGAATAATTAAAGGTTGGTAGGAATAAAAAAGTAAACACAGTTAGGTTCCTGACTGAAGTTATTAAAACGATCTGAAAACATGTTTCAGTAATAATGAATAAAATGTGGTCAACAGTTCATGAAAAAAATCCCAAGACAAAATCATAGTACAGCATGGTCAGTATTTAACTGGATAAATCCTTCCTCAGGTATGCACTCCAACGCCTTGCTGACGGTGGATGACTGCTTCGACATGGGAAAGACTGCGTACAACGAAGCAGACTATTACCACGCAGTGCTGTGGTTGCAGCAGGCCTTGAAGCAGCTGGACACTGGGGAGGAAGCTGTGGTTTCCAAGGCAGACATTCTGGATTACCTCAGCTACTCAGTTTACCAAATGGGAGACCTACCTCGGGCCATTGAGCTGACACGCCGGCTCGTGGCTATTGGTAAGATGTAGAAAAACCCAAGTCTAAAGACCAAAAATAGAAGCTGTAATTAGGGTGTAAACTTTTTAACATTACATATACTATCATTAATAGACTCGGCCTGTGTACGCACCATGAATGATCTTTAAATGGCTTCATCGGCTGTCTCTTCATCACTACAGAAAACTGAAAAGCAGGGTGTATACCATCTGAAGTAACGGCCTGTGGTTTTGTTATTTTGGTCTCTGCACCAAGGGCTGTGTTGACAGCAGTCGGCCATCTTTTCAGAGCTATACTTGTTTAGATAAGTGAAACGAACTGAGGGGGAGAAGATGAAGTAGACATGGACTTACTTTGTGGTATCAGTGCAAGTGAAGAACATAATGCACACATTAAAAGAGTAGAGATGGGCATTTACAGTTATCTAAATGCTCAAGTACTCTCATTACCTTATGAACGAGTACATGGATACTTGCTGGTTTAACGACGATCTGAGGGTAAAAGCTTAAACTCACGGTGAAGTGGTTGATTTGAGCAGACCACTATAAGCCTCTGGACCTGCTCATATTAAATGGTCAGAAGCCCAGTCTGACACCTCTCTGATCTGTAACTGTGATTGCTGCAACACTCGTTAGTGTACATAATGTACAAAAGGGGTGACGGACAGCAAAACTGAGGAGACCCAGTGGAGACACACGCTGGTTTGTGTTACTCACATTGTCCTTGTCTAGGTGGTTGGGCTCACTGGTTGGTTGTTTTAATTTCCTCCAGCAAACTCTGCAAAAAGAACCTTGACTAAACCAGTACTTACAAAACACTCTGTACCTTTGTTTTATATTTACATGAGGCAGCTTCACGCCTACATGAAAATGACCTCAATGTTACTCACCACCCCCACCCACTCCATGCCTCACTAAAAATGATTTATTCAAAACGCCACAAGGGGGAGTGCTCTCTCCACCATCCACTATGTGACTGCTTAAGTGCATTGAACACTACACAAAGACCTGCACTGTACTGGAAGAAGAATTTAAAGCATTTATTGAAGCAAAACTTAGGAATACTATAAAATAAAATAACCCAAGAAAAGCTGCTTCGTTGAAAGTACTGATGTAGCTGTATAAACTGTAGTAATGACAAAAATTAAAGTACTCATTATGGAGCAGTTCCCTGTCAGTGTGATAATTAGATGCTACTGGAATGTTATTAAACATAAAAGCAGTAAATAAATGTTGCAGTTGTGGTGATACTTTTAACGGCTTCATATGTTGCAGGGTAGTTTAATGAACAGTTGTATGTCAATTCATCACACTTTATGAACTGAAACAATATTATGTATAAATCTACAGAGTACCTGCTTACTAAAGGCACTGGATGAATGTGTTAGAGTTTATTATACAAGAATACCTTTTACATCGTCAAGGACTAGAACTGTTAAAGGGATACTTCACCCATTTGCATTAAGCTTTGTATCATTAGAAACCTGGTAGTATTTTTGAATGGTCGTGCATCCCGCCCTCATTTTCCCCTGAGATAGAATATCTTTATCTGTATTTCTAAGTCTGAAAAGGAGCTTCCAGTGACGCAAAATTACGATTTTTGCGTTAGCGGAGTGAAACTACAACGCTAGTTCCTCATATTTTCGATCACTGAAGCTACAGACCTATCACAGATCAGTGGGTGGGAACTCACTCCCAGAATCGAAACTTAACGTCCGCCATATTACTTGGAAGCTATGCTAACAGGCTCTATGGAGAAAGCTGATAATGGCGAAAAAATATAAATATAGTGGCGAGACGGTTGCTGCCGACAGGCCGGTCTTGTTTTGGCTGCTGCGGCGCTGCGCCGTGCTTGCCACCGGGGCCGTCACCGCTGCGACACAAGACCGGCCTGTCGACAGCAACCGTCTTGCGGCTATATTGCTAGACGAGGAGCCCGGGCCGGCTCGAGCTGGGGCGGTGCAGTGTCGGTGCACTCACTGTTTGCCTATAGACACAGACATAGAGTCTGTTTTCTGCCAGGAATTTCCAAGATCAATTCTGGAAAAAAACTCTCAATCAGTTGAGGAAATGGTCTTATGTGTTTAAGTTAATATGTCTGCAAATGTTTTTATTACTATATTTCTACTGCTATATTGTATATTTTGGAGAAACTGTAACGATTGAATTTCCCTCTGGGTTTAATAAAGTATTTCTGATTCTGAAATAGAGGACCTTAGTGGGAGTGGCATGCGGTGCTGTGCATTCTGGATTTGGTGTCTTTCATCTGCATGAGCCAAAAAGACACTTCTGCCTTTTCTCGGCCAAGAAGGCACCAACTTCAAAATTGATTTCACATTTCTACTACATATATGACCCAATGTCAATACAGATTCATGTTTCAATGAGGTGAAGTATACCTTTAAGTAGCAGATACTCAGGTAATCGTACATCAGGATTCCCCTCTGACAGTAAAGTGTGATGAAGATTTTTTTAAAGGTAGGGTAGACCACTTGACTATTTACTTGAAATGGCAGTTGGTTGAAATATGTTTTCAAAAGAAACTGTTTTAAACAAATCATGTTAAGGCATCTTTTCAGCTCTTCATGTTATCCACTTCTTTATGATTTAAGCTACTACAACTACATTGTTCTTGTACTGACAGACTCCAGCCACCAGAGGGCAGGAGGGAACCTCCGTTATTTTGAGCGGCTACTCTCCAAGCAGCCTCAGCGAGATGAACCAGAATACCAGCCGGCCTCTGAGGAGCCCATCCAGCTGGGAACATATAGCCGACCTAAAGACCACCTCCCAGAGAGAGAGGCCTATGAGGCTCTCTGCAGAGGAGAGGGGCTCCAGATGGTGAGACATGAATGGAAAAAAAGGGGATGATGAGAATCGGGAAGGATTTGATGTGAAGGCAGTAAAAATGTTTATTCATATCTTAAGTGCTTGCATTTTGACTCACTGCTTCCTAAAGTTCCTATTTGATCTTCTTGCTATCAATGAAGGGTACATTGCAACTCACTTTAAGACTGTTTCATTCATATTAGGCTGATCAGATTGATTCTAAAAACACTATATTAAAAACAGACACAAAGTGATGGAAAAGATAACTGCACAGTTCTATGTTAGGATCCAATTTTAATGTCAAATTAAGATAAACCTGCTTTAGCCAAGGCTTTAGTTCGTTCAGTTCAGCAATGGATCAAGAAATCAGTTTAACGAAAACGAAAGATCTTAATAATTACAGACACAAATCTAACCTTCACCATGCGGAAAAGGTTTTATTTCACTCAAACCAGCATGAAGATATAGACTAATATCCACATATTTAGCTACATATACCAAGCATGAGGAATTTCTTATAAAGCCCTGCAGAACTCAGAGGTGTTCTTTAGGTATTGTTGCTTACTAGAGCTCTTTTCAGTTTGACAGAGGAGTCGTGCTGGGGACAGGTGGGATCAGGTGTAAAGTTGACTTTCTTCACAGGTGTAACAATACTATTAAAGAAGAGAAATGCTTCTACCCATCTATGCAAAATTATTCAAGAACAAGATAGAGGAATATATCCTTTATTAATCCCTCAAGGGGAAGCTCAATTTACTCTCGAGACATACTCATAGGGGATGGGGATGGGCATGGGCTAGCTTCCCATGTGTATAGTTTCCCATGTTTCTTAAACTTGTTGGAAACACCCGCTGTATCTAAGTCAAGTAAACAAAAGAGAATACCCCCAGAGTCTGCGAGAGTGGCGGTGGAAGAGGACTCATCGACTGTCTTAATGGTAACGAACCCTGGACCGGAAATGACTTTGAGTGAATAGAGCACAGAACAAGAGAGTGGGTGGAGGAAAGTTACATCACATTTGGGATTGAGGATTCATCAGGGAAAGAAAGGGTGCTTGAGAGAAGGGAGGGTGCCCACTTGAAAACCCTTCTGTGTCTACATTCCCAGCTAGGTACACTCTTATTAGGTGCTTGCACGTAAGGGATTTTCTACATCTTGTCCTGTGTTTCTGAAATCATAGGCTGAACATTTTCAAGAAACCACAGGTTCACGACGTCTGTTCATCATGTGACACTAGGTTTCAACAGCAGGGGGCAGTCAAAACAAACCAGATTCCAATTCTTTTAATTCAAGCTTGTTTTAAAACTTGATGGAAATCAATGTTAAGTATTTTCTGTTTTTCCTGAATAATTTTTCAGAATGAAGCGAGGCGCAGCCGTTTGTTCTGTCGCTACCAGGATGGTTACAGGAACCCTCATCTCCTACTGAAGCCAATGAAAGAGGAAGATGAGTGGGACAGCCCTCACATCGTACGCTACCTGGACTTCCTATCACACGAAGAGATTGAGAAGATTAAAGCGCTGGCTAAACCCAGGGTGAGCCAAAAAAAACTCACCCTGGGTGAGATTTATCTGCCAATTCTGTGTAATAATTGTAAAACAATGTTTGTAGTATAATAATAATGGGGGACAGAAAATAAGAGGACTTTTGTGGCCCAACATGTGGATGTACTTTAATATGTTCTGATGACAACCACTGTCTTTTTTAATTCCTGTGTTTTTTTTGTTTCTTAAAGCTTGCCAGAGCGACTGTTCGTGACCCAAAAACAGGAGTCCTGACCACAGCCAACTACAGAGTATCAAAAAGGTAACATTCAAGAGACAGGTTTCCATGGTAACCTCTGTGGAGTTCATCTATCAGTTTTTATTATCTATTATTGAAGCCAATAACATTGTGAACCAAGGTACTCTTAACAACTTAACTGCTTTTATTTCTTTATTTTTTTAAATTGAAATATTCACATTTTCTGAGTTGCTATTGTTGTGAGGCTCCTCTGTTCTCTCTTTAATGTTTAAAAAACAGAACAATTACCTTTGTGTTTTTTGCATTAAATCTGCCAATAACCAACAGTGCTTGTGGTCTCTGTGAAGGACCAGAAGTATTTTTCATTGAATATTGCAAAACAATAGAAATGATGAGCTTTGTACAAAACATAGGCCATTTAAGAAGTTGTTTTAGTTTAGTTTTCCAGTCTGATAAAAAAATAAAAAAATAAATATTTGCATCAATAAATCACTGGTAGTGTTCTGGTAATCTGGGAAATATTGTTCCTTGGACTTTACTAAGACTAATGAGAAGCAGGCGAGGAATGACAGAAAGTAACCCTGAACAAAAAGCACTACACTTTTATTATTTGAAACAAAACTATGTGAGTGGCTCATCATCAATTGAAATGGTAAAGCCTTTCATGGAATCATTATACCTGCAGCAGATTAAAAAATAAAAAAAAGAGGGTTCACAGAAGATGCACAGTTTTTACTTTTGAAGTGTGTGTGCATGTGTGTGCTGTACTGTGTGCTCATGGATATGATTCTGTTTTCATAGTGCATGGTTGGAAGCTGAGGATGACCCGGTCATTGACAGAGTCAACCAGAGAATACAAGACCTCACAGGCCTGACAGTAGACACTGCCGAGTTATTACAGGTAACGTTATCACAACGTTCCACAGAACTACAGTATTTGAATTACAACATAACTTTGGCATCTATTACATAATAATTGCCAATATTCACTCTAATTATAAATAGGCCTACAATGATATAACACATGTGTTTAAGAATACGTTATTCCCTCTAGTGTGCCAATCCTATTCAATCATATTGTTTTTGTTTAGTTAAATACCGAGAACCAAAAATGAAATACCTTGTCTATCAATCACCAGGTAGCTAATTATGGAGTTGGAGGACAGTACGAGCCACATTATGACTTTTCAAGGGTGAGTTCACGTTATGACTGTTACTATGATTAAGTTACTAAGTGTGGGAGCAAAAAAAAAAAACATAACTCAATTTGACATGTTTTGTTTAATATATTGCCAGAGAACACAAAACCCAAACTATTTCTCAAGTGGCTTCAAGCAGTCATGCTTGTTAGGATTAACCCCCCTCCTTGAACTGTTAAACATGGAAAATAGAAGTAATTAATCTCCCAGAGGACTAAGATCCAGATCCAAGCATCTGGAATGAGGCAGAAATATCCCAGCAAGAGCGAGAACGATCTCGCAGATCTGCTGATGGTCCAGCACAGAGAAGTCTGAGATGAAAAGGAAGATGGAAGAGTAAAGAGAACAGTTCACAGCTTGAACATGCAGTACTTTTCAGAAAGTCATCAGCATTCTCATTGGCAGGAAAAGCATACACAATAAACAATATGAATTTTGTTTTTATAGCACTAATACTGACTCCCTGGAAGGATAATGGTTAACAGTTACAGAGCTTGAGCTCATTTTAGAATAGGCCACACTGGCAATCCCTACCTTGCCTAAGCCCGCTTCACCCCTAAAGTCCAGGGGTCTCATTTATAACCGTTGCGTACGCACAAA